TTTCACTTTATACAAAATGAAGAGGGACAGTGATGAGGCACAAAATGGAGCCAGGTTGGCTATCACATGCTGAGTTGTATTTGTGATCTATTTTCATTAAAACACAACCAGCCCACTGTGCCTAGTTCATGTAATAAACTTTCAAAGGTTAAAAAAATAAATAAGTAAAATAAAACGTAAAACCCCGGGAATAACTCTGAGAGGAAAATGAATGTGTTCCTGAAGAATCTTTACTAGATTTGAGGCTAGAGTGAAACTATCTCAAAATGGTCAGCAATAGTGGCTTACAAATAAAAGGTAAAACAGGGCCGGGGATTTAGCTCAGTGGTTCCGCCACCTGCCTCGAAAGCAGAAGGTCCCAAATTTGATCCCCGGTACCAAAAAAAAAAAAAAAAAAAGAATATCCATGGAAACAGTTTCCTTCCCAAATCTAAAACAGTATCTCTCAGGCTGCTGTCTGCAAACCACTGCATTGCAATCACTAAAAATGCATAATCCAAAAACTGGGTGTAGTGGTACATACCTATGATCCTAGCCCTTGGAAGGCTGAGGCAGGAGAATCTCTGAAAGCTGAAGGCCAGCCTGTGCTACATAATGAGTTCAAGGGCAGCCTCAACTACATACCAGACCCTGTCTCGGAAACACCAAAGAAAAACAAAAACAAATGCATAATCCACCCAGGCCCAGTGGCACATGCCTGTCAACCCAGCACTCAGGAAGCTCAGGCAGGAGGATCACTTCAAGTTGGAAGCCAGCCTAAATGACAATAATAGTAGTGAGTTCAAGGCCAGCCTAGAATACACAGCAAGATCCTGACTCTAAAACTCCAAAAGCAAACAAACAAAAACACATATTCCAGGTTGTATTCTAGAACTACTAAATCAAAATCTTGAGAATAAATCAGGCATGGTGGTACACACTTTTATTCTCATCTCTGGAAAGCTGAGGCAGAGGACCTCAAGTTTGAGCCAAGCCTGGCCAATTTAGTGACTTAGGAAGACCATATCTCAAAAGAAAAAAAAATTACAAGGTCTGGGATATAGCAAGGAAGGAGGCCCTAGGCTCAAACCCCAGTATCTGTCTGTCTCTCTCTCACGCGCACATGTACACACACATATACAAATTTAGAACAATACCACCTGGGAGCCTAAATTTTAATATAAATTTTAACCTTAAGGTAATAAGCCTGAAGCATACCAAACTTGAGAATCAAACAAACAGAATAAGGGGTCAGGGGTGTGGTTCAGTGGAGAGTACTTGCCTACCACATACAAGGTTCTAGGTTCATCCCAAGAAGAAAAGCACCAAAAGAAGAAAAGAGGTGGGCATGGTGGCTCACTCCAGCAATCCCAGTACTTGGGAGGCTAAGGGAGGAGGACAGCAAATTCAAGCCTCACCTGGACATCTGAGTACCTTAATAAGAAAAAATATTTTTCAAAGGGGGTTGGGGATGTAGCATAGTGTGAAGGCCCTGGATTCAACCCCCAGTACCAAATACTAACAATAAAGGCAACTGAAGCCAAAAAGGAAATCTGCTTTTTTCCCTAAATGATGGGATTCTGCTTTTTCCTTTCTTTTTTAAAAGACAGGGTCTCACAGGGCCAGGGATTTAGCTCAGTGGTTCCAATGCTTGCCTCCTAAGCACAAGGACCCAAGTTTGATCCCTGGTACAAAAAAAAAAAAAAGACATGGTCTTGCTACATAGTTCAGGCTGACTCTGAACTCACTATAATGCCCAGCCTGGCCTTGAGCTTGCAGTGATTCTCCTGCCTTGGCCTCCTGAGTGACCAGATTACACATGTGCGCCACCACACCCAGCTTGCTTTTTCCTTTTCCAACTCTTGTTTTTCTAACAAAGCCTTAAGCAAAATGAAACAGAAACCACTCGCTACCTTTCTTTTCTTTTTTTTTTTTTCCTTAAACTCTTTTATTGGTACATTTTAGGTATACAGTACGTTTACATTTATCACTGGGTCCTTGTACCTGTACATGATGTATCTTGGTTATTTTGTCCCCATTCCCTGTGCTCTCTTCCCTACTTACAAAGACTTTGCTTCCATTTTTTCCTTTTCTCATAATTTTTCCTTTCCCTTCTTTCCTTTCCCCTACCCTTCCCACTTCCCCTACCCTTTTGGACCTTTTCTTCCTATTTCAAATTATCCATTATTCATTTTAATCATTTTAATCCTTATTTACACTTTCAGTTTCTCACACCAGACAAACTATTCAGCATTTACACATGTGTGTCCTATTTATTTCACTTAAGAGTATGGCCTCAATATGCATTCATTTAGCTATGTCTCTAGTTTCTCGTTTTTTATGGCTGAGTAGTACTCCATTTTATAAAAAAACTGCATTTTCTTTATCCAGCTGCCATTGATGGGCAATTGGGCTGTTTCCAAGTTTTAGCTATTACAAACTGTGCTGCTATGAACATGGGTGCACATATATCTCTGTGGAATGATTCTTTTCATTCTTTTGGGAAGATACCCAGCAGGGGAATAGCTGTGTCAAATGGGATCTCTAATCCTTGTTCTGAGGTATCGCCATACTGATTTCCACAGTGGTTGCACCAGTCTACACTCCCACCAGCAATGGAGAAGGGTTCCTTTCTCACCACACCCCCGCCAGCATTTGTTATTGGTTGATTTCTTGATAGCAGCCATTCTTTCTGGGAAGAGATGGAATCTCAGGGTTTTCCTCTGCATCTCTCGAATGACCTGTGATGTTGAACATTTTTTCATGTTTATTTGCTGCTTTTACTTCTTGTTCTGAGAAATGTCTGTTCATTTCAGATGCCCATTTTTGAACTGGGTCTTTGAATTTGGGGGGTCTGATTTTTTTCGGTTCTTTATATATTCTAGATAGTAGTCTTTTGTTTGTGGTACAGCTGCTAAAAATTTTTTCCCACAGTGTAGGTTGTCTCTTAGCTCTGTTGGTGGTTTCTCTTGCAGTACAGAAAGAAGCTTTTTAATAAGGTGAGATCCCAGTTGTTGATTCTTTGTGCTAGTTCTCGTGCTGCTGAGGTTTTGTTCATAAAGTCTTTTCCTATGCCAATATCTTCAAGAGTTTTACCTAACTTGTCTTCCAACAAGTTTAGTGTTTCTGTTTTAATATTTAGATCTTTAATCCACTTCGATCTTATTTTAGTCCATGGTGACAGATATGGGTCTAGTTTTAATCTTTGGCAGGTTGAAATCCAGTTTTTCCAACACCATTTACTAAATAGGCTATCTTTCCTCCAGTGAGGGTGGTTGGCTCCTTTGTCAAAGATGAGGTGGTTGAGTATGTCTGGAGTTGTTTCTGCATCTTCTAATCGATTCCACTGATCATCGGGTCTGTTTCTTTGCAGTATCATGCTGTTTTTATCACAGTAGCTTTGTAGTATAGATTCAAGCTGGGGATTGTGATATGCCCTGCCATGCCTGTTGCCTAGAGTTGCTTTTGCTATTCTAGGTCTCTTCTGGTTCCAAATGAATTTTTGGATTGTTTTCTCTAGTTCTGTGAAATACATTGTTGGGATTTCAATCGGCATTGCATTAAATCTATATAGCAGTTTTGGAACTCACTAACTTTCTTAAAGCAACTAAGGCATAACCAAAAGATTGTTCACCACCTACCAGGAGAACCCAAGTTCCTTCAAATTCAAATATCTCTTCCTAAATTCAAATATTCAAATAACTCTAAATTCAAATATCTCTTCCCCTTTGGAGTACAGTATTTTCAAAGTATCACATTTATGTACAGCAACTTCCTAAATTATTCCTCTTCAAATTCTCTATCAATTTCTCTATATTCTATAATCCCTTTTCTAACAGATTGTTAAGAGAATCAGAATTTCCTTTTCTAAATCAATCCTTTTCACTTTGCTCCCTAGCTGCCATGAGGTGCACGCTGCCAACTTGATGGACTCCACTGCCACAGGCCTAAAGCAACAGGCCAAAAAACCATGGACCAAGACCCAAAATCAATCTTTTCTCTTGTTAAGTTGCTTATCTCTGGTACTTTGTTACAGTGACACAACACTGTACTGATTAACATAGTGCCTCAGGTACTGGTCTGCACCCTCAGGTACACTCTCTGTAAATAGGTTAGGGATTTTCATGGGTATGCGTGTTTCTGAGGTGAAATTCAATTCATGTAAAAGTTCATCATTTTAAACTGAACAATTCCACGGCATTCACATTTGCTATCTAGTTTCAAGATATTTTTATCACTCCAAAAACAGTAACAAAAAAAGCACTCATTAAGCAGTCACCACCTTTTCTCTTCCCTGGCAGGCACCAAACTGCTTTCTGTCTCTATGGATTTGTCTACTCTGGATTTTCATATAAAAATTAGGCAGAAAAAAAAAAAAATCAAGCCTTTCCTACAAGTTTTGGCCTTGACATTTTAATCATTCTCAGTAATTTTAATCATTCATCAACATCAGTTGTACTGGGACCTAAATTCCTATACCTTATAAAAAATAATTCTTCAAACAATAAGATAAAATTACACTAATAGAGTAAATGTATATGATAAATAAAAAGACTGTCAACCCCTACTTTTCAGAACTACGAGAGTTCTTGTGAACCACTTTCTCAAACAAAGTCTACACTGTGCCTGTAGTGTACTTGCTCTGATACATCCTTCCTTCATATATCACATTCACAGCATTCATTTATGTGGATCCTAACTTTTTTGTAAGGTAGACAGGGAGAACAGAAGTTTCCTTTAAAGGATAGAGATTGTCATATCTTCATATCCTAGCACAACCAAGTCTAGTACAAGTTCTTCTTATGAATATGGTCACCAAGATTTAGAAGCTTGAGCATACCCAGGGTTGGATATGGAATTAGAGGCAAACACACAGTCTCAAACCTCCTGGCTCTACGTTGTTGTGCTCTATTCATTAATGCATGATGACTTCCAGTTTGAAGAGTGGGAACTTAACATCTCTTTTAAGAGTCTCACACATTTGCTACAGAAAATAAAGCACTGAGTGACCAGATACTTACTGGAGGCCTCTTCAGTGGATGCCTCTTTATCCTCAGATTTTGACAGTCTTCTTTTGGAAACCATTTTGACCACAGTCTTCTGTACTTTAATTACTTCCTAGAGAAAAATGAGAAAATTGAAGTTACCTTTTAGAAGCTAAATTCTGAAGAATTAAAACTATGGCACAGGGAAAACTGCTCTATCTAAAATAGAGTTTGGGTTTTTGGTGGTTTTCTTTCTTTCTTTCCTTGTTTTTTTTTTTGAGACATTATCTGGCAATGTAGTTCAGGCTGGCCTTAAACTCACTATGTAGCCCAGGATGGCCTGGAACTCTTGGCAATCCTTCTGCCTCAGCCTCCCAAGTAATAGAGGTATTTTGGCCTTTATATTACTGCTATCTAAATCCAGGGGCTGAGCAAATGACCATGCCTATATTTAGCCAATATCCCCTTCCTCTGAAGGCATCTTTACCTAGTTGCCTCTTAACAGACCATGGTTGCTAAAGGAAAAAACCTACAGCTCATCACCTGAGATTCAAGACCCATTATCATACAGTTCCAATCTACTTTTCTTTAACTAATTCAAAACTATGCTAAGGTATGTGCTAGGTTCTGAAGCAAACAAGAAAGACATGATTCTTGCTCTCAGGGACAGTATTATGACAAACTCAATATATCTAACTACAACTGTAGAAAAGTACAGGGGTACAATGAAATTGAATTTAGTTGGAGATAGAACTGGTGAAGAAAAGAGGAGACAAACTTGCAGGTAGAGTTTTTCTAAGAAAGTTTTATTTTATTTTATTCTGGTGTCATTAGGGATTGAACCTAGGATCTTGTACATGCTAAGCGAATACTCTATCACAGAACTATACCCTCAACCCCAAAAAAGTCACTTTTATTAGTGCATGTTTGTAATATAGAATTTGTTTTGTTTTCTCTTGTTTTTTAGAATGTTTTGGGGAACTGATACATATATATAACATCTTGATCATTTTCAATCCCTTTACCTTCCTCTCCCTTTTCTCCTCCCTTCCCTCAGATTCCCTTTCCTATCTCCAAGACTCTACCATCTAGTTTCCTATAATCCCAGAAAGTCTTTTTTTTTTTTTGAGAGATCTCACTATGTAGTTCAGGCTGGCCTTGAACTCACTGTGTAGTTCAGTTTGGGGGGGGGGGTACCAGAGATTGAACTCGGGACCTTCCGCTTGCGAGACAGGCAGCTGAACCAGTGAGCTAAATCCCCGGCCCTCACTATGTAGTTCAGACCGGCCTCGAACTCAGGGCCATCTTCCTCCCTCAGCCTCCAGAGGGCTGGGATTATAGGCATGCACCATGCCCAGCTTCAAAAAGCCATTTTTAAGCAGAGATCTGAGGGCTAAAACAGGAGTCTACGAGTAGATGTATAAGAAGAAACTCGCTGAAATAGGAGAGAGTCTGCAGAGTTAGAAATGACTGTACAAACATGGAAGGGACTGAACTATACAGCTTTCTAGTTTACCTGGTTCACCAGAACGTTTCTGGTTTCACTTTCTTTGCACAAGCATTCTTTTCATCTGAAATGCTCTCAGCTGCCTGGAAATTCCTACTCATCCTTAAAGATTTAGCAAATATCTTCCTTGAAAAATGTTCCTCCAATATCCCCAACAAGGGAAGTCTGCTACTCCAGCTTCCCCATTCCAGTGTACGTAGGAACTCAACACATCACATACTGCGGAGCTCCTTGGCACCAAGAAGCTAGTCTTATTTATCTCACTATTCCTCAGTGCCCAGAACAATACCTGGCATAAAGAAAAAATTTTTGTTTGCAGTACTGGGCAGCCTTTGTATTTATTTTTTAAATTTTGAGACAGGGTCTCACTAAATTGCCCAGATTGGATTGAATTTGCTATCTTCCTCCAGGTACCTGAGATCACAGGTGAGCAGCACCACGCCTAAAGAAAATTTATCAGAAAAAAAAAAAAAAGAAAGAAAAGAAAAGAAAATTTATGAGAATATTCACTAAGCATGGCTGGCAGCCATGCATGGTGGCACATACCTGTAATCCCAGCACTTGGGAGGCTGAAACAGGAGGATCGCCAAGAGGTGACTCAGGAGGATCCTCTGCCAGCAAGATTGAGGCCAGCGTGGCCTACATAGTGAGTTCAAGCCCAGTCTGAACCACATAGCAAGACCCGGCCTTAAATGTAAATAAAGGGCCAGGGATTTAGCTCAGTGGTTCTGCCCCCTTTCCAGGATGCACAAGAACTTGAGTTCAATCCCCAGTACCTGTCTTAAGAGCTTTATATTTAACAATTCATTTAGTTCTCACAGAACATTTTTAGGTAGATACCATTGTTAGTCTTGTCATCAACAGCAGTGAGGGGATCCTAAGACCAGTGGTTTGCTCCAGAACTTGCACTCTTAACCACCACCAATACTGACTTTACTTTTTCTTTTTTTTCAGTAATGCGAACCTATGACATGCTACCTCAGCGGGCTGTTTGTATCATTGACAGCTCTAAAAGTATCCCCATCACTGACCTAGGGCCTTCACACTGAGCAACATCCTCAGCCCTTTTTATTTGAAGACAGGATCTCCCTAAGCTAAGATCCCCACGATGGGCTGGAAATTGCCATCCTCTTGCCTCTACCTCCACAGTCCTGGGATTACAGGCACACGCCGCCAAACTTGGTTCAACACTTGTAATAACGGCACCCAATAATGGTTAACGTCTACAATGTATCCAGCACTATGCCTTGTTTAATATGTATAACCACAGTCAGCCATTTTGCAAACGGAAAAACTACTGCAACTCAGAATCGTCTACCTTGGGCACACCCAACACGTGTGACTCCATCCTGCGTTTTTTTAAACAGAAAAACTATTTTTGAGGAGGTCTCACTGTGTAGTTCAGACTGGCCTTGAACCCTCAGCGATTCTTCGGTCTCAGGCTCCCAAATGTAGGGATTACAGGCGTGCCCCACCATACCCAACTACTCTTGCTTTTTTTTTTTGGAGACGGGTCTGGCTGTGTAGTTCAGGCCGGTCTCGAACTCCGTGGCATTTCTGACTCGGTCTTCCTAGTGCGGGGATCACAGGCGTGCACCATCACGCCCGGCTTTTTAATCTTGTAATTCTTTTCTTTTTTTTTTTTTTTTTAGCGGGGATCGAACTCGGGACCTTGCGCTTGCGAGGCAGGCTGCGGAACTAATGAGCTAAATTCCCGGCCTTCGGCTTTTTAATCTTGCTTTTAGAAGACCCTACAAAATGAGACCCGTTACCTGGACCAGGCTACCCAGAGGTTTCGAGGTCTCTCTCATTCTCTATCTCTTCTTTGTACTGGTCACTGAACTCAGGGCCTTCGCAGTTACTTCCCCAGCACCCTCGCGCGCCATTTTATTTTTTACGTGGAGACTGTCTAGCCAGGTCGCTAAATTACCCAAGCTGGCTTCGAACTTGATCCTCACGCTTCAGCCTCCCACAGTGCTGTGACCACAGGCGCGTGTCACCACAACTGGCTAAACACCGCGTCGGTTCGTCATTTTAACAACACAAGCTGGTACCTGAGGGATGGACAGATGAGGAAGCCGAGATTCGAGGCTCAGAGCCCCAGAGGGTAAGGCTGCGATGAGCCTGAGTCCGGAGACCGCAGGGATGCGAAGATTCAAGACGGATACAGCGGTTCAGCTTAACCCTAGAAGCAGTCCCCGCCCAGCGGTTTACACTTTCCCGCCCGCCAGACGCCGTTGGGACGCCGTTGGGACGCCGTAGGGTCGCCGAGCGAGCTGTGACGTCACACCCGCGCGCCGGAAGTCGGCCCAGCTAGAAGCGCGTCCCTCAGGATCCCAGTTGCTGTAGAATCCCGGCTGGCCAGCCTGAGCGGCGGGAGAAGGCCCCGGAGCGGACTTGGCGGGGAATTCCACTCCCTGTGGACGCTCTCAGCGAAGATGGCGGGGCCAGAGTTATTGCTGGACTCCAACATCCGCCTCTGGGTGGTTCTTCCCATTGTTATCATCACTTTCTTCGTAGGCATGATCCGCCACTACGTGTCCATACTGTTGCAGAGCGACAAGAAGCTCACCCAGGAACAAGTGTCTGACAGGTCAGCACCCTTCCCTACCTGGCCGACCTCTCCCCCTTGGCCTTGGGCAGCAAAGTGCAGGGGTTTTGTCAGCCGGAGTCCCCTTGCACCCCTGCTGGCAGAGTGACCTTGTGCGCTGCCTCTGTTTCACTTTTGTTACCTGTAAAATGGAGATAGTAACAGTGCCCACCCCACAGAACAGGCTTGGGGTTAAAGTAAACAATGTCTGTGAAACCTTAGCACGGGGCCTGGGACCGTTGAAGTGCTTAAAGGCGGGGGGGGGGGGGCTTGCTAATACTAGGCTAGTCGCCAACCCTCGGTAAGGTTATCTGTGAACCATCCCGTCCCACCCTGTCGTTAGGCAGAATGCCAATTAAAGGCTTTTATCTTTGCCACATCCAGTCAAACTACTGAAATGGTACGCTGAGATGCTAAGAAATAAAGTGCTTTGCAAACTAAAACTGCCTTTAGAAATTCGAGAAGTTGTAGTTACTGTATTTCCCCTCCTAAGGTGGAAGGAACTTCTTCATGTGCTTCCTTTCAGTATTTATCTGCGGAGACAGGCATTTCAGATGAATTTAGGTAGTATCTTGATTCGTACTCCTTTATAGTAAAATAAGTAACAATTTTCAGTTAATTGTTCGTTTATAGTCAGAGACCATCTCAAGAAAGTATTACTATATCTTTTAACACCTACTGTTAACTTATGCATCTCTCAGTTTAACAAAGAGAGCAAGCATCAAGTTCAGAAGTTTCCACAAGTGACAGTATCTTGTGAAAATTTAATAAAAATTAAATAATTTTTAATATTTTTAATATTTTAATTTTACTGTATTTATTTTTTAAATTACTTTATTTTGTGGCAGATAACACTACATTTCCACTTGCTGGTGATTTAAAGATTCCTTTAAATTTAAAACTTACATAGGTAGAAGAAAAGTTGATAAAGAAAAATGTTAAGCATAAGTCAAGCATGGTGGTACATCCCTGTAATCAGCACTCTGAAGGGCTGAAGCAGAAGGATAACAATTTTGAGCCAGACCGAGCAATTTAGCAACTTAATGAGATCCTGCCTCAAAATTTTTTAAAAGGACTGGGGATGTAGCTTACCTGACTGATCTTGCTGTCATGATCTCTTTTTTTTTTTTTCCTGTAACTGGTATTGAACCCCCACCTTGGATTCAATTCCTAGTACCACCACCACCCTAAAAAAAAGTATATAATAATACAAGTACTAAGTAAATGAAAATAATTTTAGTTTGGGGAAAACTTTGTTATCATTTTCATTTGTCATTCCCAATTATGCTGAGAAGAGTATAATCATAGGCCAACATTTTACTAAACACTTATTCTATACGTCTACACCAGGCACTATGCTAAGCACTTGTATTTATTAATTCATGTAGAACTCAAAGCAACTGTATAAGGTATGTACTCTTGTCCTATTTTAAGAAACCGAAGCTTAAAGAGGTTTACACATGGTAACATTTAGGACATCAAGCCAAGATTTCCCAAGCATAGGGCTCATTCCACTATACCATAGTGGCCTCTCTGATTAGTGTGTGTGATAAAAGTTTCAGAACTGACCAGAACCAGCCCCCTGGAGCTAACCTTAACAAGTCAGTTTACCCCAAAAATGAATCCTATAGGCAGATGTGAAGTAGAGTGCTCAGACACTCGGTATTAATTGATGCCTATAAATTACTCTCATTTTATTCATACATTAGTGCTGAGATAGGTAATCTTACACCCATTTTTACTGTCAAAGAAAAGGAAGCTTGGAGACGTTGTCATCCCAAAGTAACCAAAGTAGTAAAATGTACATGTACTTTAACCCCGAGTGACTTTACTGATCTTGTTATCGTGATTCTTTTCTTTTCCTCCTTTTTTCCCTGTACCCAGGATTGAACCTAGGGCCTTACATGTGCTAGGCAAACACTAATGTTGAGCTATATCCCCAGCCCTTTTCATTTTGAGGCAGGATCTTGCTGAGTTCCCCAGACTGGCCTCAAAACTTGTGATCTTACTGCCTCTGCTTCCTGAGGAGTTGGGATTATAGGCATGTACCACTTCACCAGTTTTATGATTCTTATCATGATTCCTGCTATTATACATTCTCTGCCACAATTTTCTGTGCTGCTTCACTATGTGTTTTAGAGTAATGGTTCTGAGTAATATTGGACCCGCAGCTTTCTTTTCTAACCCTAAAATGTAGTTGGTGCAATCTACATATAAGACATTTTTTTTGTTGTTGAAACAAGGTCTCATTATGTAGATCAGGCTGGCATTGAACCATGTAGTCCAGGCTGGTCTTGAACTTGCAGTGATCCTCCTGCCTCAGCCTTTCAAGTTTTGGGATTATAGGCATGTGCCACTATACATGGCTAAGAACTTTTTCAAAGGAACAGTTGTGAAATAAAGTAATTTATAATAGGATGAATTATATGTATTTTGTAAGTGATTGTGTACAACTGTCCTACAAGACATGGTGTAGAAGTTCTGTGCATTTACCTGGCTGTAAAATCACCATAATTGGGATTGGTCAATTGTGGGCTAAAATAGATATCACAGAAGCCAGTACTGTACTGTCTCTGTGTTTTTCTTTGTTTTTTCTGTTTGTTTGCTTTGGGGTTTTTTGTTGTTTTGTTTTGTTTGTGAGACAGGGTCTCACTGTGTAGTTCACGCTGGCCTTAAACTCACTGTAGTCCAGGCTGGCCTTGCATTTCCAGCAATCCTTCTGCCTCAGCCTCCTGAGTGCTGGGATTATAAGCATGCACCACCACACCTGGCAGTGATTTTGTTAAGTGGTATACTACTCTTCATAAAATTCAACAAAACAAAGAACAAGTTTTTCCCTGTATTTACTTTGTACTTGAACGACCAAGAAATCTACTGAATATAAAAACTGTGCCCCTACCACTTCCAGAACAAATGGAATTAGGTTTGAGGCTCAGATAATTTAAAAGTTTGATGAGATATTCAAAAATTGAGAGCCAAGGATTTAGCTCAGTGGTTCCATGGCCTGCCTCACAAGGCCAAGGTCTGAAATTTGATCGACAGTACCAAAAAAACAACATTTGTGACATGGGACAATTCTTCATAATGCAGTGTATGAAACTGTCACCAGCATTGAGGGATACTTAACATCTTTTGACTGTACATGCTTTTTCCCCTCCATCCCATCATTTTGATAATCAGAAAATTCCCAGATTCCCACAAGGCCCCACATAGGACAGTGCCCTCCATGGAGAATCACTGCTATGCCAACACCCGTGGTCAGAACTGCTCCTTCTCTTACCTATGAAGAGGTGAGGTCACGCCTGCCTCATCAGTGAACTTGTATAGGATGCAATGCATGCTGAAGCAGCCTCAGTCCAAGGCAGAAAAGGTGCTTTTGAGTTGTAAAACATTTCTCTAAACACAGTATAGATGGGCATGAGACTGAATGAACACAAAATGGGACATTTGGTTCCTTAAATTATTAAGCTTTCACTGCCTTAAAACTTAATTAAAATTGTTCTAAAATGTATTAAACAGACAATTATACTGGAGTAAAATGTATTAGACTATTAAAAAGTCACAGATCAGAGATTTAGCTCAGTGGTTCCGTCACCTGCCTCTCAAGCACAAGGTCCCAAGTTTGATCCCCAGTACCAAAAAAAAAGGCACACTTTTTGGGGGGGGATCAGTAATGGGGGTTGAAACCAGGGCCTCTGCCATAAAAGGTACTAGTGGTTCCCCGGTTCTACAGATTCTTAAGCTCAGGGAACTCCAGTTTGAGAAGTCCTGACTTTAAAAACTAAAGTTTTAAAATATCTTTTGGTTGCAAATTACTAAAGCTTTATCTCTATAACCAGCACAAGGACTTTTTTTTAAGTTATCCATGCAAATGAAAACAAAATTTTGTAAAATTTGTAGACTTTGGAGAATATAAATATATCAGCTTAATAAATTGCTCATTGGGCCAGGAATTTAGCTGTTACACTATGCCTTCCTCACAAGCGCAAGGTCCTAAGTTCCATCTCCAGTACCAAAAACAAACAAATAAATTGCTCATTTAGAATGTACAGCATAATTTACACTTGCCTTGATGCCTCAGGTCACAATTCTCAACTCCATTTCTACAAAACTGCTCAATAGTATGAAATATAGGAGATGCAGCTTAGTATCTGTTGATCACGGTCCCTGAAAAAGTTCTGAATTATACATACAGTTAACAGGTTTTATGGATGACCTACCGTGTGCCCTTCATTTTCCCTGAGGCAAAGTGAGGTACACTGGCACATGCCTAGAATCCCAGCTTCTCGGGAGGCTAAGGCAGGAGGATTTCAAGGTCAAGTTCAGTTTGGGCAAATTAGCAAGACCCTGTCTCAAAAAACGAAAAGGGTTAAGGGTGGAGCTCAGTGGTAGAGTATTTGCCAGCATTTGTGAGACCCTGGGTTCAATCCCCAGCACCACAAAAAGAAGAAAAGAGATCTAAGAGCCTAGTCACAAAGTTTCACTCCAGGTGATGAAACACAGGAAGAGAAAATAATAGAACCCACTGACCTAGTGTTTAGGATATTTTAGATACAGTAGTAAAGACTTTAAATGAAATAATCCATGGACCGGGGATTTAGCTTAGTGGTTCCACCGCCTCTCAAGCACAAGGTCCTGAGTTCAACCCCTGGTACCACAAAAGAGAGAGAGAGAGAGAGAGAGAGAGAGAGAGAGAGAGAGAGAGAGAGGAAAAAAAAGAGTAAGAAATAATAACATGTTTTTCACATGTATTATTGTAGGGTTTTTTAAACCCTTCACTAGGGGCCGGGAGATGTAGCTCAGTGGTGTCATGCCTGCAGGCCTGGCAAGCATGAGGTCCTGAGTTCAATCCCTGGTGCCAAAAAAAATAAATAACCAAAACAATAAATAAATAAATAAAACCGTTCACTTGTTTGCCTTTGCTCGTAAGATAATGATGAAAGCCAGAGATGATAACACATGTCTGTTATCCCAGGCTGAGACTGAAGGATCACAAGTTCAAGCTCAGCCTGGGCAATTTAGAGAGTTAGCAAGACCCTGCCTCGAAATAAGAACTGAAAAAAGGGCTGAGGATGTAGTTCAGTGCCAAATCCCAGAGTCCAGAAATAGATGTGATGACACATACCGGTGATCTGAACACTCAAGAGGCTGAGGCAAGAGGATTGCAGCAAGTTCCAGCCCAACCTGGGCTACATAGTGAGTTCAAGACCAGCCTTAACTACATAGGCTATCTCAAAACAACAACAACAACAACAAAAAAATCAGAGTACAGCTGGGGATTTAGCTCAGTGGTTCCACCACCTGCCTCCCAAGCACAGGGTCCCAAGTTTGATCCCCGGTACCCCCCCAAAAAAAATCAGTACAGTGGGATTCTTATGGACTTGCATAGTCTGGCTCTCGAACCTCTTCAGCCTCATTTTCTGTAGTTCTCTTTCTTCTCACCATATGACCTTTTCTTGGGTCCTAAGAAACATAGCATTTATTCCTACTGCAGAGCTTATGTTCATGACTTTACTCCCAGCACTTAATCCAAGGTAATTCTCAGTCATCCTTTAGATTCCAACTTAATGCTACCTCCTCAGCAGTTTTCTCTCTGTCCTCCACTTCCCAGAATTGATCTACTCCCTGTGTTAGACATATTAATAACATCCATCTCTCTTTCTAAGACATAACTACTGAATTTCACATTAACTCCTGTGCTTGTTTAATTTCTTTCTCTCCCACCAGGCTTTAGCTGTCATGATATATTTGCCTATTTATCATTGTTCACAGCCCCAAATGTAGTACCTGGCACTTAGAAGTTTGAGAACTACTTGTTCAGTGAAAGTATCAGCTTGTTATTGCACAGAATGTGCATGACAGCTTAAAGAATCTAAGGGACCTACCTAAGATCACATAGCTAATAAGTGGCAGAGACAGAATTTGAACCCATCTATCCAGCTTAAATTTTTACTCATCCTACACCCAGGGCTTCTTAAACTTTTAGTGGTAAAGGCTAGTTTGGGGAGTTGTTTTTTTGGGGGCGGGTTTGGTACCAGGGATCAAACTCGGGACCTTGGGCTTGCGAGGCAGGCAGCACAACCACTGAGCTAAATTCCCGGCCCAGGGTTGTTTTTTGATTTTCAGTCTATTGCAGGCTAATGCTTTTGTAAAAAATACTTTGATCACAAATTTGTAATGCTGTGACAAGGTCATATTATTCTGGAAGGCTCTAAACATTGTTCTCAGTGTCTGTATTGTATTCTCAATGTCTAAAGCCACTTCACGTGGCTTTAGATCAGCTTCCAGGGAACAGAACACATCACAGATCACCTCTATAAACCAAGAGGAAACTGGGGCGAAGTCCACAGGGCCCCCAGGCATTGGGAAGACTTCTGTGGAGAAGATGGAGTTTGAAGAAGGTGTTACAACGTGATGGGTAGAGTTGGCAGAGAGGGGACCTGGACCCCACCCAAGCTACAGAGAAGCTGGAGCAGTGTAGGGTGGCAGAGAGACCCCAAGAGTATTGATTGTGCGGTGCAATGGTCAGTACTGGAAGTAGAGAGAGAAAGCACACATACAGTTCTCTTGTGTTTGGTTTTCTTTACTTTTTTTTTTCACTTTGCAAGAATTTCCATTAATTTAAGGGCTTCTTCCTTTAAACAACTTTTGAATACAGAAAATTAGTATTTTGATCTCTGTTCTCTTTGGTATTTGTATCTCAGTGAAATCTACTTGTTATATAGCAATCTGTTATCTTTAATAATCAGCTTGTGCTTGCTTTGGCAGCACATATGCTAACACTGGAATGATACAGAGAGGATTACCATGGCCACTGTGCAAGGATGACACGCAAATTCGTAAAGTGTTTCTTATCAGTTTGCTCTAAGATCACCAAATAATTTCATTTATTTGGGCCAGGGATTTAGGTCAGTGGCACCATGCCTGCCTCAAAAGCACAAGATCCTGAGTTTAATCCCCAGTACAAAAAAATATATATGTTAATTTCATTTATTCATTAGAAGTGTATCAAGAACTGACTAACATTCTGAATCCTAGTAAGATTTCTATTTTTGTCTATCAGACAACACCCTTCTCAAGGCCTGTTCTCATTTCTCTGGGTTTATTAAAAAGTTTCTTCTTTTATCTTTTTATTCCCTTCCCCCTCCTGCCCCCAAGTCTTTTGAGCAATATCAAACTGCTACTTTTTTCACTCAGAAAGTTTCTTCTTACCACATTATGAAGTAGGAAAAGTTGTGCCTTCCTCAGAAATCTTTATTTAGAACCTGTTACTTCTGAAAGCTACTTTTTTTTAAAAGCTCACTGTTAGGTTAAATATGTTGGGGGTTTTTTGGTTTTTTGTTTTGGTACCAGGCATCGAACTCGGGACCTTGTGCTTGGGAGGCAGGTGGCAGCACCACTGAGTTACCCAGTTCAAATATGTTGTTTTTTAAGATACTTGAATGTTGGAAAGTTTCCACACATAGTTGTTGCCAAATAGGTCCTCTCTTGCATTTAAATAGGTCTTCTACTTTATTCTCTCATTTTCTTCTAGTGTTTCACTTTTTTAAAAATCTCATTGTTTTGGTTGTGTCTTTCAGTCAAGTCTTAATTCGAAGCAGAGTCCTCCGGGAAAATGGAAAATACATTCCCAAACAGGTACTCATTTACAGTATCTTTTATTAAAAAGCTCTGCCTTTCACTGTTGAGTGGTAGATAGCTGAATGTTTTATAAGAGTACTCTTTGGGGAGAGCTGGAGGTTGGCAACATGGTTATTAAGCTGTGGCCTCATGGTTGCTGTCACTGTGACCTTATCCTTCTTAGGAAATTGTTTTTAAATCTGACTCAGCTAAAGTGTCACATCAGCTGCCAAGTAGGCCGACAGTTCTGAGTGTAACCTCATATTCCAAGTGCTTTCTGACCCGACCTCTGGGAATTGTTTGATGATTTGCTATGTCACAGATCTTGGACTTAAAAGCTTTTTTTTCCTACTAGTCTTTCTTGACACGAAAATATTACTTCAACAACCCAGAGGATGGATTTTTCAAAAAAACTAAAAGGAAAGTAGTGCCACCTTCTCCTATGACTGGTATGTTGGTTCCCATCTTTCACCTTTGAAAAAGACTTTTAACTTGGGTTGTTGAGTGCAGTGAGGGGGAGAGGCAGAGAGAGTGTAGATTCTTAAATATTAAATTATAGAGGATAAAATGTAAAAGGTCTTAGAAAATATCTAATATAGGCATCTATGAAAGTACAGTTCTCTTTTTCAAATAACTTTTTGGGGAACTCCAGTGTAAAAAGTGGATTTTGAAAGGCATTAGCTAATGGAGAGGGGAAAGGCCAGGGCCCTTGTCCCTGCTGTCTCCTTGCTGTTCATGAGCCATGGCTCCAAGGAGCAGTGCTGGAAGTTTGCCTGCAGTACTGTTGCTGGGACCCTGTGGCTGACAGATGGCCCCCCAACTTCTGCCTGAGTGAGGAAGGTCATTGCAGACCTGATTGCTTGGTCCCCTACAGTTTCTGCTCTGACAGATTTGTGACTTCCACTGATCCCTATCTTGTAAAAAATACAACATACTGTGTTTTTTTGTGGGTTTGTTGTTGTTGTTGTTGTTGTTGTTTTTGGTACCAGGGTTCAATCTCGGGTCCTTACGCTTGGGCAGCAGGTGGCGAAACCACTAAGCTAAATCCCCAGCTCTTACAACATGTTTTTTTAAAACAAGATAATCTGTTGTTCTGTGTTGATTTTCTCTCACTTAATACTCATTTCTTTAGTTCTTTTAAACCCATACAGAATGTACTAGAGTTAAGAAAAGTTGGGGAGGAGAGCCAATAATCATATGAAAAGATATTTGACCTTATTAATAATCCATGGAATACAAATAAAAGCAAGATGTCTTTTTTAGCCCATTAAATTGACAAAGATTAGAAGATTGACCAGAGCCACTATTTTCAAGGTCAGGGGAGTAAGGTGAGAGAGCCACACAGTCAAGCCTCACTGAGGGACAGTCTGATAATATCTGGGTGTTGGGGGCCAGGGATTTAGCTCAGTGATGCCACGCTGGTCTCACAAGCACAAGGTCCTGAGTTCGATCCCCGGCACCAAGAAAAAAAAAGAAATATCTGGGTGTTTTCATTAGTGCTAGGCATGAGCCCAGGGCCTTGCACATACCATGTAAGCACTCCTCTTCTGAATGACACCACAGCTCCTCATAACTGTTAATTTTAAGTCTTTATACTCCTTAACCCAGAAGTTCTTCTAAGAATTTCTCTCACAACTGGATGCTGTGGTGCACACCTATAATCCCAGATACTCAAGAGGCTGAGGCAGGAAGACTACAAGTTTGAGGCTGCCTGGGTTACATAGTGAGGCCATCTCAAAAGGAAGGGCTAGGGATATTGGTCAATGCAAGACCCTGGATTTAATCTTCAGGTCTACAAAAAAAAAAATTTCTCTTACAACAGCACTTAGATAACCATGCAGATTTGTGTACAAGATAGTTGTTGGCTATATTGTTTATTACCAGAAGTGTGGTGGCACATACCTATAATCCTAGCACTCAGGAAGCTGAGGCAGGAGGATTACCATGAGTTTGACACCAGCCTCAGCTCCATAGTGAATTCAAGCCCAGCCTAAACTACATAGCAAGACATTGTCTCAAAAACGCCAAAAAAAAAAAAAGTTGGAAACACCTACCTAAAAGTAATTCTACATAGACTTTGAAACATTAAGAGATAGATATTATACCAACATGGAAATATACACAAAATTATTAATTTTAAAACATTAAGAAAGAGAGGCGTAGTGGCACATACTTGTAATCCTAGCACTTGAGAGGCTGAGGCAGGAAGATGGCTGCCAGTTTGAGCCCAGCCTGGATTACATAGTGAGACCCTGTTCAAAAATATCCAAAAGTAATAAATAAATAAAACATTCAAAAGTAGACTATAAGCCTAGCATGGTGGCACACATGTGTAATCCTAGCACTTGGGAGGCTGAGGTAGGAAGATCACTGCAAGTTAAAGGCAGCCTGGGCTACATAGTGAGTTCAAGGCCAGCTCGAACTACCCTTCCTGAACCCCCTCCCCCCAAAAAAAGAATATATTAAACATAGAATCCCTTTATATTGTATATATGTAAATTAAAAGATAGGAAAATATACAGCAAACAATTTGTGTGTATAGTGAATGAGCTGAGAGGAACTGTTTCTTTTCTTTATTTTTTTTTTGTTTGTTTGTTTTTTGGTTTTGGTACCAGGGGTTGAACTCGGGTCCTTGCACTTGGGCGGCAGGCGGCGAAACCACTGAGCTAAATTCCCGGCCCAGGAACTGTTTCTTAATTTCTGTGTCATTTGAATTGTTTTTTTATAAGGAAAGTGTGTTACATAAATTGTCCAATATATTAAGTTTACAGAAAATGAGAGAGAGGTAAACCTGTGGTCTCTGTGCTTTCATCTCAGATCCCACGATGCTCACAGACATGATGAAAGGGAATGTGACTAATGTTCTCCCTATGATTCTCATTGGTGGGTGGATCAACATGACATTCTCAGGCTTTGTCACAAGTAAGTTGCAGACCAGTGGGCTGGGGCCATTTTCATCTGTTCCCCTCCCTGTGTTCCCACTCAGACATCCCCATGCTGCAGAGACCTTGGTGTCACAGCCTTAGGTTTTCTTATGAAAACTGACAACATTCTCTAAATGGAATTTATTATGTTGTGATGTTATGGTTCCTATTTCAAACCGACTCTCAAGTTCAAAATGTGGGTACTTTTTAAAACTTTTACTAGTGCATGTTTGCAGTAGATGATGATTACATTCATTGTGGGAAATTGGTACATGTATATAACACATCTCCATTTTTTTCCCTTTCCCTCTATCCCCCCCCTTTTTTTTTCTATCCCCCTTTTTAAAAAATCTTTTTTCCACCGGAGATTTAGCTCAGTGGTTCTGCTGCTTGCCTTGCAAGCACAAGGACCAGAGTTCAATCCCCGGTACCAAAATAATAAATAAATACAAATCTTTTTTCCTGCCTCGCAAGCGCAAGGTCCCAAGTTTGATCCCCTGTACCAAAAAGAAAAAAAAATTTTTTTGCCAACATCAGATTCATTAATTTATTTTATAAATTCTTATCAGTTATCATGAACACAGATTAATGGCCAGGCTAACAGGCCGATAATTTATAAAATACCTAAGGCAGTTATACTAAATCAAAGTCCACTTAGATACATTGGCCATGCCAGATTACAATAACTCTTCTCTTTTTTTTCTTACTGCCTGCGTTTTATTTTGCACTTTAATTATGTATTGGGTTTCTTATATAAGAGAATCCATGTGATATTTAAGCTTTTATCTGGTATTTTTTTACTAATAGAGACTCAAAAGACTTCCCAATTTGCCTGTACAACTGATAAGATATTTAGAATAGAAAAGAAGAATAGAGGGGAGCCTGCTTCTATTTTTATTTCATTTGTTGGATTTTGGGATGAATTCTTTGTGTATTTGTAAGTTGATTTGATTTTAACCAGTTTCATTTCTTAGTAATAGATTTCTCTGGATATACATAGTCTACATAGGATTTAATAACTAGATAAGTGCAAGTGTTTTCCAAATTTTAGGTTACAGCTCAATTTGAGCCCCTGCTTCCTCACCAATGTAGAAGCTGGTATTATTCAAGGAAACTAGAGCAGAGCAATACTTGACTTTTTTTTTCTTCAAAAATTGCATCAGATTTCCTTGTGGAAATCATTTTCCAAGGCTCATATGGCATGGAATTCCCACCTTCTCAGGAAAAGAATCTGTGTATTCACACTTGCACTGTGCTAAGAATAGGACAACTCAGAGTGCTTGTGATCCTTTGTTTTCTCCCCACAGCCAAGGTCCCGTTTCCACTGACTCTCCGTTTCAAGCCCATGCTGCAGCAGGGAATCGAACTCCTCACATTAGACGCATCCTGGTAAGAAGTTTCTAAAACCAATGTCTCCTAAAGATCAAGATTTCCAACCTGCGTATTTTACTGGCATAGTTCTTTAAAGGTTTATTTTCATCCAAACTCTACTTAAAATAACATCACTGGCTTTTGGCAGTTTTTCCGTGAGTCTTGCAAAAGGAGAGACTGTGCCAGCCTCTTTCCTTACACCATAGGGTACAAGGATGGATGTATTAACCCTCTCAAAAGTAGAAAGGTCTCCGGGTGTGGTGGCACGCCCCTGCAATCTCAGCACTCGAGGCAGAGGCAGGAGGATCACTGCAAGTTGAAGGCCACCCTGAGCTGCATAGGCTAATCTGAACTACAGGGTGAGACCCTATCTCAAAAAAAAAGCAGAAAAGTTAAGCCAAAAGCTCTGGCCGAGTTGCTGGCACAGTAACATACACCTGTATTCCTAACACTGTAGAAGGCTGAGGCAAGAGGAATGGCAAATTCAGTGCATGCTTCGGCACCACATATACTAAAATTGGAATGGCAAATTCAGGCCCAGCCTGAATGACTTAGCAAGGCCCTGTCAAAAGGGCTTGGGATATAGCTTAGTACAGAAACCCTAGGTTCAATCCTCAGTACTGAAAAGAGAAAGCAAAAGGTTTTTTTGCTCACAGTTTTGGAAGTTTTGGTCCATGGCTGTGAGCCACATTGCTGTGGACTGTGGTGAGGCACACCATGACGCAGCATGTGATGGAGCAATCATTCACTTCATGGTTGGGGCATGAAAGAGAAAGGAGACACAGCAGGGCCCCACAGTCCCTCACCAGGCTCTGCAACCCAAACCTCTTACTAGGCTCTACCTCCTGAAGGCTCTGCCACCTCCCTTTAGCACCATAGTCTGGGAACCAAGCTTTAACACATGGACCTTTAGGGTACATCCAGATCCAAATTATAGAAATGTCTATATTATTATTATCTATACATTACTTTCCACTGGTTCTAGTCACCATTCTAGGGCTTTCCACATATTACTTTGTCCTCATAGCAACGCTGTGACCTTGTGGAAGAATTGGCATTTGACCACATACAAGACTATATGCAGCCAGCACTCCAGACTTACTTCCACTCTCTTTCTCTTTTTAATAGCAGAATAATAAAGCTTAAAATTCAAAACAGTCTTGGGAAACACTGTTACAGCACCTACAACACAGTAATGCTGCCTCACATGGTCTCCACGCTGTCCATGACTTCTCAAAGATTGGCCTAGAAAAGCAGCCTCACAAGAGGAGTGTGGGCAGTAGGGTCACCAGTGGTGATTTTGACTCACCCGGTTTAAGCAGAGCCATCTCTCATTCTGTGGTAGGAACAGGGCAGATGCTGGGAGAACGTTGGCTGAGAAAATTGCATTTCATAGGAGGAGAATGATTGTGTTCTTTTTTTTTTTTTTTTTTGGGTATGAGATCAAACTTGGAACCTTGCACTTGCAAGGCAGGCGCCGGCACCATTGAGCTAAATCCCCGGCCCGATTCTGTTCAAACTTAACTTCCCAAGTTCCATTTGGGCTAAGCTAAAGCTTTTATCTTTTCTCAGCATGAGAGCAGGTATGTGACTACCACACTTACATGCACAAAGAGCCCTGGAACCTGAGTGTGCACTTTCTGTTGCATACAGATCTGCAGTGTTGTACATACATAGATCACTGGCTTACCTGCAGCCTGATGGACCAGCCAGAATAAACTCCTACTATTGTGTGACCTGACTTTATGGAATCTTTCCATTTATGTATCAATTCATATTCCCTGTAGTTTTTATTATATACAAGCATAATTTAGGGGGCTGGGTAGGAAACTTCAGATAAAGGAAGGCTAGGTGATAAAGTTCAAAACTTGGAACACTTTCCCAGTAATTATCATCCTTAGCAATGCAAATAATTGCTTAAATCTACTTCTGATCCTTTCTTCTAAGCATGGAACACATGAGCACACCAGCACTTGTGATTTCCTCTAGAGAATGGGATGTCATAGCTGGGGTGTGGCTTAGTGACAGGGTGCTTCCCTGGCAGTACAAGATCCTGGCTTCTGTCCCAGCACTGCAGCCAAGCAGGAAGTTTCTTTCAATTTTTATTTAATATATTT